GTCATTTCCTCAATGTTGTCCCGTTAGTCTAGCGCACAAAACATACCTTTAATGAACTATCCGTCCAGAGTTAATCCAATGAATAAATCCGGGGGAAATATTCACAAGGCAATTATAGACCCCCACGCAAGGCTCGATGCGATAAAAAATGATAAAAAATAATAATAATAAAATAAAAATTGGCCCCACCCATTTGAGATTTGTAAGAGTTGGGCCTGTACGCCCAACTCCATTGTAATCCAATATAGTAGCAGTCATTAGCATAACACTACAATAGGTGGAAGAAGATAACTATTGGTTACAAAATTGACTATATTATTTATTGTAGTGTGTCACGTCACCTAATGTTTAGTTTATGTTAAGTTCCGATACTCATTAGATCTTATAGTAGTTCAAAAGTGTAGTAGTTCAAATAAAAGTTGGGGCTCAAATGTGCGCAAGCGCACAATGGCAAATAAAAAAATTTCGCGCACGAGGCCCAATGGTCAACTACCAGAAAATTGAATTTCTGGTTCGAAAAGTTGCATCTTTTTGCATATAAATGCTTGATTAATCCTCAAGGGGGAACAGAAATCTTTTAGGACAGCGCTTATCAACGTCATGGAGTATGCTGCATCAAAGCCTGATTAAAATTCCGTTTGTAGTCTGTAATACCTCTGTGGCAAGAACTCGAATACTACAAAGAATACAAAGGTCGGCTGGAAGACTATCTGGGAAACAAGAAGGCGAAGAAAATCTTGACCCAAGCTCTATACATAATCAGCATGGGAACAAACGATTTCTTAGAAAACTATTACATGTTTCCCAACAGATCATTCAAGTTTTCTCCTAACGACTACCAGCAGTTTTTAGTTGACATAGCACGATCCTTCATTACCGATATTTACCACCTTGGAGCACGGAAAATATCCTTAACCGGGCTCCCTCCAATGGGCTGCTTGCCACTTCAGAGAACGCTACAAGGGGGACATTGTAGAGCAATGTATAATCATGTGGCCAAGGAATTCAACAAGAAGTTGAAAGCATTAGTTGAAACACTGAACGACGAGCTTTCTGGAATTCGACTGGTGTTCTCAAATCCATACCATGTTTTTTCCAAGATCATTCAGGATCCTCAGTCTTTTGGTACCGTATCTTACTTCAATCTGTCAAATTGTCTTGCTGATTATCAGCACATTGTGTAATGTACATGATCAACGGTTCTGATTTGCTGATGTTTGTGATATGTGATTTTGCAGGATTCCAAACTGCAGAAACAGCGTGTTGTGGGACGGGAACATTTGAGATGGGTTATCAGTGCAACGAATTTACTCCCTTTACGTGCACAGATGCGAATCAGTACGTGTTTTGGGATTCGTTCCATCCTACCGAGAAAACAAACTTCATACTAGCAGATTATGCTGTCAAGACATCTCTGGCTGTATTTAAATAGCAAGTTAAGAGGAGAGATTGCATTTAGCTTTATCTCAATAATTTCTAAGACTTTTGCTGGTACTGATGAGGCATGAAGAGATGGTTATCTTGCATTAATTCTTTAGTGTAAGATTTAAAAAAAAAAAAAAAAAACATATCCAATTTGAAGCCTCCATCGATGAATTCTAGGTAAGAAACTTTGCATTAACTGTTTTGTCATCCTATTCTGAATGTACGTTCTTCTTTGGAGCAGTTATCAAGATCATGCCACTCTTATAGACCGATAAAGGTGAAGTGATCAAATTGCTTGATAGAGAGGGTGATCGACCCTTGCATTTTGCACATGGATTCCGCGTGAACTAAAAAATGTTGACTTCCCCATATATGTGTTCGGTCATCCCCCATGTTATCCTCTATGTTAGTGTAGCAAAATCCCTTATAGACAGAAGCACCTTTGAGACTAAGCATAACATGTCCGAACTACCTTATTTGTCGTTTCCTTATTTTGTACATGATCGGCGCCAAAAAAATATCATTACCTTATCACCATTCATTTAGATATTTACTATATTTATTTTCTTCAGATTTTAATATAGGTAATTATTGAGGAATCCAATATTCGCGAAACTTCTTCGAGGTTTATATTCACTAGCTAGATTATTTCCAACACTCTATTGAGGATCTGACAAATATTTTCCAATTGCCATGGAACTTTAGAACTCCTACTTGCCAATGGTTTCAGTTGTCATTGAACTTTAAAAATTTTTCGAGTTGCAATTGAACTTATTGAAATGTTATCACATTCATCGCTCGCAGTTTTAGAAGGTGATAGATTTTATAAACTTACCAAAATTTTATCAAATCTACAATTACATCTACCATGTCATCTAGTTCATAGACTTTTAAAACGACATGTGATTAAGTGACGAATGTTATCATTTTGGTAAGTTCAATAATGATTCAAGAAGCTTTTAAAATTCAATGACAAGAAGAAAACATTTGAAAAAATTGAAGATAACTCAAAGAAGTTTTAAAGCTTAATGACAATTTAAAAAACATTTGTAAAAGTTTAATGACTATTGAGATATTTAGCCCCACCTTGTGATATCTACAAATTAGCCCCTATTTGGCCCCCATTTTTGGTAATGAAAATGGGAAAATGGGGGAATAGTGTTTAGTTGAAAAAGAAGGAAAAATTTTCGATTTACGTGTAATATTATTTTATGAAAGATTGTGTGGTTGAAAATAGAAGACGAAAAATAGAATGTAATTTAATTGGGATCAAGGGAGATTCAAATTGGCAAGTTTCATTGTATCAAGTAAATATTGAATGGCACCCTTTTGCCTTGAGAAACAAAACCAAATTAAACATACAGATAATAACACTGAAGACCACATGTTCCTTAACCATCACTAGTACTAAAAATCAATTAAATTAAGCTTAAATCATTCTACTGATTCCATTTAATCATAAATCATGATTTATTCAAGTGCTTTTAGATTATTTTTTTTTATAATTCCAGAGATTATTAAAGAGGAATGCAAAACTGTTGTATTTCAAGATCACTCGAGTCTCAAATGATAAAATAATATTAATATATATTATAAAAACAAATCAAATCTACATATCCCATTATACATGTAAGAAAATCGCCTCTTTACCCCAAAAGAAAAAGGGTATTTCTAATCATACGGATTCCTGAAATTCTTTAATAGTTTTGGGATGTCATGTCCAAGCATGTCAATGATGGATTGAATCATTTTAGGTTTCAACTTCTCAAACTTATCGATGTTGTAGAGATTCAAAACCTCTCGAAAGTGTTCAATGTTTGGAAAATCCCCAGCAGGCAGATGGTGTTCCCGTTAAACCTGTAAAATGACAACACCGTGGCAATGAATTAGACGGAGAGACAAAGAAGATTCACCTAGGCGACCCCAAATATATTGGGAACAGGGCTTAGACTTTAGAGCATGTCTGGCTAAGCTTAAAGAATTTACTTGTAAGGAAATAAGATTTAAAATTAAATACTTTTCAATACAATAAAGCTGGAAATACCTACCTATCAAAAAAAATAAAGCTGGAAATATGTTGCGCAAACATGTTTGAAAGTTTTTTTTTAAGCCTAGCGAAACACGCTAGATGGTGGTTTTGTTATCACCGTCATCAGTTGAACTTCACATATTTATCTATAACGTTCATAATCACAAATACGAAAAGGTGCATGAGCCTCAGGATATTGAGCGGGTATAAAGAACCTTCGCAAATTCAACGTCTAGATTATCGATAAGTTGCTGTTGGGGTTTTGCTTTGCCCATCATTACTGGCATCTCCTTTTTCAAATGACCAATAATACAAGCATGTATCTTGGACGTTTTACGAATTCATTTATCTGCACAAGGTAAAGGCACCAAAAAACTTGTTACCTACGAAAGCACAAGAAACTGCTGTATATATATATATATATATATTAAAGACACCAGAAAATAATGATGTTAAACTCACACGATGATCACAAGCTCTTTTTGGTATGTTTTTCAAATCGGTAAGAAGGTTATCTTGTTCTTTCTCGAAAAGTTCTTGCCCCATCGGACCAGTGGCAGCATTTATAGGCTTATCATCAAATGAGCTGTCAAGACAGACAAAAACATGGAGTATCAGAAATAAAAATATCTAAAGAAAATAAACAGTAATCATAAACACAATAATAGTGACAAAGGAAAGACGGGGTGGAAGAGGAATAGGGAGAGGGAGAGAAAAAGGCCACCAATAAACATATAAAAAAGGATACGTCTATTTATTTTTATTTTTATTTTTATTTTTTTTTTAAATATGAAATGCTCAAAGATATGAACTATGGAACCACTGTGTACTGGAGAGAATGGTCCTAAAGATTCTAGTACAAAATAGCAGTGGATACGTAAATAAGCTTCCATTTCTAAGCCACCGAGATCACAATGAATGGCTTCCCTTTCAAATTCTGTTGGGATCGACGGGTTGTAAAGAATGAAGTTAATGACGCGATATGAAGTGTGCAACAATATAAAAATATATATCAAGGTATAAAGTAAAGAAAAAATAGGAATTAACGCAGAGGTAAGATGTATTATTAATTGATAATATGGAGAGAATACAATGCCACAACAATATTAGCTTATTCTAAACTAAAAGAGAAGACCTGTATTTATAGTACACGAATCAAACCTTAAAAAAACCCACGTAAAAGAAAAAAGGGAAAAACGTGTCCGCATTTACCATACACGGGATACACACATATTCTTTCCTTTCTTCAATTGGCTCATGTTGACACATAAAAATTCAGCCCAAATCGAACGGCCCAAGGAGTGAAGCCCAATTGGAGGATCCCCAAATCAGATAGCCCAAAGAATGAAGCCCAATCAAACAAATCAATATGAAGGCCCAAATAGGGAAGTCCAAGAACGCGGTAACGCCATCGCCCAAGTTTGCAAGTCGCCCAAAATCTGAGCGGATTGAGTGCCATACAGTCGCCCAGAGCTGTTACTCTATCCTCCCCAAACCTTCAAGTCGCCCAAGGTCTTAACAAATATAAAGCGTTGTGGTTATCAAGACGTGCCGTTATCAAAGCAGTTATTAAAGCAGTCCTATCACGTTCCACGATTCAAGGAATTCAATCGAAAGCGGTTGAACGACGAAGAGTAATGACAGTAGTTAAAAAAGGCAGTTTTCATGATAAGTTGGCCATTATGAGGAAAGTGGGCAGTTATAGAACGATCAAGCGGTTTTTAGGCGGTTGATCACAAAGAGATCGTCTGTGAAGTATAAAGGGGAGAAAAAACATAGAGCAAAGGACCGAATCAAAAACTCTCGAACAGAGAACATGTAATTTTCATTTCCTTAGCTTAGATTTAAACACTTTTCTTTCAGTAACTCGTGTGTTTGCACCCCTTGGAGGCACATTGTTTTAATTTCCAATTGTAAAGTCATCGCCAATAAAAGAACACCCCTTTTTGGGACTTTGTCTCAAGAGGTTTGTCCCTTACACAATCGTCTGATCCTTTTTAATTGTTAGCGACTAACCCGCGCGAAACAATTTGGCACGTCCGGTGGGACAGTGGTGTTAGGTGTTGAAAGTACAAAAGGTGAAACAATATGCCTCAGAGATCCGATAAGGAAGCAGCAAGTCAGGGAGGAATCCAGTCTGTGATCGAGCGATATGAAGAGCAGCATGCCTCTCCACGAACAGATGGACGGAATCAGAGCGGTAACAGTCGTTACGAACCAATGACGGAGTTGAGTTCTCGAACCATGCGTGCATTACTTGGAGAACTCACACAAGACGTCGTTAAACAGGTAAATCTTCGAAATATTCATAATATGGAAAGATTTACCCAAAATGGGAATGTACACTATGACAACATGGCCAAACAACTAAACACGTTGAACGAAACAGTGAATAAGTTAGTAGGTCAAATATGTCAACCGGCTATACCTCTTACAAATCACTTTCAAACTAGGATAATTGTGGGACATAATCCCTCGGTCCTAAATTCGAATCAAGGGGTAGAACCGCTTTCTGGTCCCTCTACTTCAAACCAAGGGGGTACCACAGTGCCAAATCAGAACAATGGTAGTGGTATGCCTAACTTGGGGGGTAATCCAAACATAAGAGATAATGTCCTAAACAATGGACATAATATTCCACGTGTTAATGAGGGAATAGATGTTCAGGCTAATGGTAATGGCCCTAATCATGGTAATTTTGTTGCCAATCAAGGGCCAAACATTAGGCCTCATGCAAATCAACCGGTTAACCAACTTGTAGGAATTCCATATGACCCCAACGTCATGTTGAGGAATCAGATTATGGAAATCGTACAGGATCATATGGCTTTTGGGGTGCGTCCTGTCATTAGGCCAACGTACACAAAGCCATATCCTGATTGGGTAGACCAAGCATATCCATGGCCTAGAGGGTACAAAGTGCCAGA